CTAGATTTACATTATACACACACATATTGAATTAGAATTATACATAGTTGGATAGCTAAGTTGATTTGAGTAAATAAATCTAAAATGTATTGCATAATATAAATAACAGGCACTTATTATTTTGCTGACCTCTTATCTAGAAGTTGCATTTTGAACTCATTTGTATGATATTACCAATACAAATGATCATGATTACCACAGATCAACAAATATGCATTCTCTGGTGGAAGAGATACAATTGAAGAGCACCGGGAAAAGGGAGGTGACTGTGAGGTGGATGTGTCCTACATGTACCTAACCTTCTTCTTAGAAGACGATGAAAAGTTAGAGGAGATTCGCCAACAGTACTCCACAGGCAAGATGCTCACAGGAGAGCTAAAGGCTGAGCTTATTAAGGTCTGTACATCTTCACAATATATATGTTTATATGGTTGTATTTTTAGGTTTTTGATAGAGCAGCCCATTTGCCTGTGTGAAGTTAGTACATTTCCTGGAAATATTAGAGTTCTGTTTCTGCAGGCAGTAAGGAATGTACTTAGGTGTTTAATGTAAAGACATCAGGTATTCAGTATTGTGTTAGTGCTAAAGATTTTCTTTTTCCAGAAAGTTTTAAAGAATTTGTCTTTAATACGTTATTAGTGTCCATTGTTGAAAGTGTTCACTTCTGTAAATCTCAAACTGAAACAGTCAAGACATAAGGCTTCCACTACATAATGGTTATCTTGGTGCTACAGAACTCTTACCCCTTATAACTTTTTACTGAAGATAAGAAATTTGGGAAGAAACTAGATTGAATTTAAGATTCATGTTTTGCTGTCTTTGCCTTCTCCCTTAACAAGTGTGTCTTTTCTGTAACAGATTCTCCAGGCTTTGGTTGCAGAACATCAAGCCCGAAGAAAAGAAGTGACTGAAGATCTTGTTAAAGAATACATGAAACCCCGGCCTTTAAATTTCTGATGGTGTAGACTTGTGCTAGTTTGGCAATTATCAGCAATTTTATATTGTTCTGTCCATTAAGTGATAATGTGAAGTCCAGGTGGTTAGGCAGAGACAAGAGTAGTTAATATTTAATTTGTATTATTAGTTATCTTTCAACTCCTTTTAGAAAAAAAAAAAAAAAAATGTTTATATACTATTAAGTATTGTAATGATGCTAATATAAGACAGTTTGTAATCTTGTGTAATAAAATTGTCAAATCTGAATACCATAAGAAATAAAAAAAACATTTACTATTTATTTATTTTTATTTCTATCAAAATATCTTTTATACTCTTGAAGATTTTTTTCATATTTCATATATTTAGCACTTGTTAAGCTTCACATGGCATCGCAGACAATGATTGCAGATTGTGTAAAATATGCAAATAAAAGATTCTAAATCTAGGTTTTTGTATAATTATGTTGATAGTGCACTGTGCTAAAGCATATTGTTTGATATTACAAGAATAAATTAAATTAAATATGAAGTTTGAAATTACAGTTTGTGCAGTAATACATCACAATCAATTTCATAAGATTTTGTTAAAGCATTGATTTCATTAAGGTATTACCAAGACCATACAGAGAAAGAAAGACCATTCATCAAAATCTCTGTTATAAAAGCACCATGCATGGTATATTCTGTTTATTCATATTTGATAGTTGGGTGTATACAAATCTTTGCTGGTGTTGGTGTATGCAACCAAGTGAAGAATGTGGGTGGAGTAGGAATAGGGAGTCATTTTGGTTACCATAAAAAGAGAGGGCAAAGCTTCAATAATGGCTTGCTACAAGGGAGCTGTGACCTTGCAGCATTCAGGCTGCTTCAAATAGCCTAGCCTGCTTCTCAGTGCCATCCACTGATAAGGATAAATCTAAAATATATGTTGATATTTATTAATTCTCAAAAAAAAGTTGTAAATAATAATTAACCCATTCGCGCCGGGCGTCACGTATACGTGACGGGCCCACTGTGAGTTTACTTGTTTGATTGTTTACAAGCATAGATGGCTCCACTTGCACTTGTACTGCTTGTCTCGTCTGTTTACCCTTTTCTTTAATTTACAAAATTATTTTGCGTTATCTTATTTTGTTGTTAATAATGTTTATAATAAAAATAACCATTGATATTCATAGCACTAGTAAAAATACATTTTTCCGCCAAATGAAATCAGGTAAAGCAGAGCCATCTAGTGTAGAGAAATTTCATTAAAAACTATAAAAAATGAGCACAGCATTTCCCCCATTTTTTGTTCATTTTTACCAGGCGGGAATGGGTTAACTGGGATAAGGAAATTAAAAATAAGAAAAAATGGCAGTACAGCAGCTGCTTTCCTGGTCCCCTTGCTCAATGCTATGGGCACTAAGGTTTCCCTGCACTACAAGCAAAAGGTGTGAGTTTTGAGTCTTTCTTTGTGTGGTCTTTGCTATTATTCATATATCTTTGTTAACTAGTTTTTATTTGAACACTACCTTTTATCTGTATTTTACGCAATTAATGAATCCAATATATGAAATTCTACAGTAATTTGGTATTAGCAGCTGGTTTCTGCCTTCTCTCCACTTGTGGACTGTGTAAGGGCGCCTCATAATTTAAAAAGGTGAATGTTTGACTTTATAGTTATTTATGACTTTGTAGTACAAACATCAATCTTTTACTGAGTGTCTCATTTTATATCCTTTTGGAAAAGATGGTGCTTAAATCAGCTAGTCAAGAAAATGGCATTCAAAGTTTTAGTGTTCAAATTGGTATATCTTTGAAACCAACCAAACAGTTTTGATGGATTATGTATTATGTCTTGATTATGGAGTGAGCAAACTTTAAATGCTATATGAAGCAATAATTGTGGCTCTCAGGATACAACAGCCTCTCCTCATTCAGCAACAGAGCTTAGCAGTGCTTGCAGATAAATAGAATTTCGACCACTTAAGCCCTTCCAGAGGAGTGTCGCAATGTGGTTCTAAGAAAGAGGTATGCATAACTCAAAAAAGCACCCCAAATGTGGTGGGATGTTTTATTTATTTTTTGAAGATATTTATATCCTGAATCTTATGGTTATTTTGATGAAGAAAAGAAAAGAAAAAAGATAAGAGATGAGAGAAGAGGAAAAAATGGGGGAGGGAGTGTTCTAGTCAGATTATCAGATCCATATTATTAAATCCCATTATATTGAAAGGAAAATAGAAATGTCTGCAGTAGACAGAAATATGTAAATGGAAAAATGACAACAAACATTATGCTTTGTGCACACAAGTTTTATAAATGGAAGAGTACAAATACTTGCAGATATGTGGGGATTTTTTTTTTCTTATGAAAACTGATTTAATACAAAGATAAAGCTGACAGCTATTAAGAGAATATGAATTATGTTCTTTTTTTAATTAATTTTTATTTCATAAAGAAGCAGAAATATTTTACTACTGATTGAATGTTATTTAGCAGCTTACTTCTTTGAGTATGCGTCTATAAAACAACACTTAAAGCAAATTCATTGAACTGATTTCTCTTAAAATGAAAATGGTAAAATGCTGAATTATATCCTAAGCCTAGTGGCATAATCTGGACAAGTATTTCTCATTCCAAGTTAACACATTCTAGGCAAATAATTCATCCTTACAGATTATCACTCAGTATAAGTAGGACAGTGTTATATCTCATTTACATTACAGTTACTTCTAGGAACATGAATTAATATATGTATGTTATGATTGCTTTATCCTGTTTCTCATTTAGAAAATATTAGTTAAGTGACAAATAATGAAAATGAATAATTTTTTTCTACATTTGACAAATTCCAGAATAACATAACAGAAAATAAACTTAAAATATGAAATTCTGCTTTAAGCAGGACCAGGTCAGAAACTTGGGAGTATACAATAAAGTACTATACTTACTTGTGAAAAAGTTAGAGGAAATAATTTATATTTATTATTTTCAGTTCTCACAATACATCTACAAGATATGTTTTTGTTTTAATACCTGTGATATATGATGAATCAAGTTAAAAAGGGCTGATTATTTTTTTATTGGTATAATCAAGGCAGATAGTCTGAAAAGAAGCATTTTCTTACCGTCTTTAGCATGAAGTCAATTTGCTCCATAAAGACAACTAAGAACCAAAATGTACTCTCAAGGAAATTATACTTTAGATTTTGGCAAGTTATATTGGAAATCTAGGAAAGACATCCATGTGCTGAATCTATTTATACACTGTTATTAACCTTTGAAGTAAAAGCAAAATGCTTTATGTAATAAACCATTGGCATCGGGTACATGCACTGTCCACTGTAGTTTGTTTTGACAATTTTGCTTACATGGAGATTGCATCACAAGTTAATTACTAGGCCTACCTGACCTCACCTGTTACCTCTTTCCTTGATTTTTGAGAAAAAAAAAAATCTGATACTATTAGTATTGTTATTTATGTTATCACTATTGTACACTGACTAAGCACTTATGGTAAATGAAACTATGAACATAAATCCCAGTAGAAAGCCATGTATAATGGATAATATGTGGTCTTATGACTAATACTATGGTTCCTAATATTTCCTATGCTTTTCATTACATGGCTACAGTAAACTAATTAAATATCAAGCTGATGATATTCTTTGTCATATGGAAAAGTCTTTATACTCTGAAAGCGTTACCATATTCATAAATATGTAAGTATGCAGGTATAATACGAGTAACTTATGTAAGAACTCTGCTATTTTACTTACATCTGCTTGCATTCTGATTTACAATTCTTGATCATACACAAGGCATTTTCTTTGCACGTTCAACGGTCAATTCTTTCTTCACAATAAAGGAAGAAAACATAAAAAGATTTTAATTTCTTAAAAAATGCTTAGAGGTAATGCAGTATATAAAGAATGTTAAAATGGGAATTAGATCAACTCTCATTTACAGTTCACCAAAATCTTGTACAAATGAAATAAATAAATAAAATATAAACTGGAAGTTGAAAGTTATGTGGAATAACAGGTATGGGGTGGATTTTAAGGTATAAAAAAGACG